AAGAATGATTTAGTCCAATGCCCTAAAGTTGTGACTGAAAGCACAATGTGGTCCAATGACTTATAATTGTGACTGAAAGAACGATGAGGTCCAATGACTTATAATTGTGATTGAAAGCACGATGTGATCCAATGGCCTATAATTGTGACTGAAAGCACGATGTGATCCAATGGCCTATAATTGTGATTGAAAGCACGATGTGATCCAATGGCCTATAATTGTGACTGAAAGCACGATGTGATCCAATGGCCTATAATTGTGATTGAAAGCACGATGTGATCCAATGGCCTATAATTGTGACTGAAAGCACGATGTGGTCCAATGGCCTATAATTGTGATTGAAAGCACGATGTGGTCCAATGGCCTATAACTTTGACTGAAAGCATTGTGTGATCCAATGGCCTATAATTGTGACTGAAAGCACGATGTGATCCAATGGCCTATACTTGTGATTGAAATCACGATCCAACGGCCTATAATTGTGATTGAAAGCATGATGTGGTCCAATGGCCTATAACTTTGACTGAAAGCACGATGTGATCCAATGGCCTATAATTGTGACTGAAAGCACGATGTGATCCAATGGCCTATAATTGTGATTGAAAGCACGATGTGATCCAATGGCCTATAATTGTGATTGAAAGCACGATGTGATCCAATGGCCTATAATTGTGACTGAAAGCACGATGTGGTCCAATGACCTACTGATTGTGACTGAAAGCACGATGTGGTCCAATGACCTACTGATTGTGACTGAAAGCACAATGTGGTCCAATGACCTGTAACTGTGACTGAAAGCACGATGTGGCCCAATGACCTACTAATTGTGACTGAAAGCACGATGTGGTCCAATGACCTACTGATTGTGACTGAAAGCACGATGTGGTCCAATGACCTGTAACTGTGACTGAAAGCACGATGAGGTCCAATGACTTATAATTGTGACTGAAAGCACGATGTGGCCCAATGACCTACTAATTGTGACTGAAAGCACGATGTGGTCCAATGCCCTACTAATTGTGACTGAAAGCACGATGTGGCCCAATGACCTACTAATTGTGACTGAAAGCACGATGTGGCCCAATGACCTACTAATTGTGACTGAAAGCACGATGTAGTCCAATGCCCTACTAATTGTGACTGAAAGCATGATGTGGCCCAATGACCTACTAATTGTGACTGAAAGCACGATGTAGTCCAATGCCCTACTAATTGTGACTGAAAGCACGATGTGGCCCAATGACCTACTAATTGTGACTGAAAGCACGATGTGGCCCAATGACCTACTAATTGTGACTGAAAGCACGATGTGGCCAAATGACCTACTAATTGTGACTGAAAGCACGATGTGGCCCAATGACCTACTAATTGTGACTGAAAGCACGATGTGGTCCAATGACCTACTAATTGTGACTGAAAGCACGATGTGGTCCAATGACCTACTAATTGTGACTGAAAGCACGATGTGGTCCAATGACCTACTAATTGTGACTGAAAGCACGATGTGGTCCAATGCCCTATAGTTGTGACTGAAAAATTAGTCATTTTATATTTCATATCAAATCATTGTGACGGTTTTTTTTTGTTTAAATTCTCAATCACAAAACAAATTCGATCTAATAAAAATAAAAATGTGCACTTTGAGCCTGCTATCGCCCAGAGGCATTAGACCACTGGTATCACTAATCTTAAGCAAGGAATAAACTATCAATTCCGGGTCTGTGACGGAAATGTATTGGACGGATGTTGTATAAGAGAGAAGATGTAAAACGTTGAGCTGGACAGAGACAGACCCCCGCAACTAGCGAGGCGATGACGCCTGTGGGGAGAAAAAAAGTGGGAGTGGGGGGGGGGGGGGGGGGGGGGGGTTTTTTTTTTTCAGTACACAACTTGCCCGAGAGGAAGAACAGACACCGGGACAAGATTTCTAATGGGAAGCCCTAAAGCCAAAAATGTGCATAACATGTTAGACAATTTGTCAGATAATCATTTATTCTAAAATCACCTGCATGTCGACGAATGTGGTTGCCATGTCTGTTAGTCATTTACTTAAGTGGTTAATTATGAGACAGAATAAAGTCCAAAACAAAAATACGAAGGCAAATGGTGTGTTAATAGACCTATTTACACTGGCTCGGTAATATAATGACTTGTACTATGGCTTCTGCCTGCTGAACTCCAAAGCCCAGTTCTAAATGAACAAGTTTAGGAGTTATGAATCGGAATGATGAACTGTCCAAAAAAAACAACATTGATCGTATATTTCTATACTGAAAGAACAATGTATTGTCTTACACTCCAGAAGAAACACACACACACACGTAATGATCTTTCCAAGAGAATAGTTTGTAAACTAATAAACATGAATACTATCAAAAACCTTTATGCTTGCTTACCTTTAATAATGTGGAGAAGGATGAGTATATTATAAACAAGATAAATTGAAAATTGAACAGAACTTACCCCCTTCATGCTCCTGGCACTGATGAGTGATTAGCGTTTACTTGCTCGTTATGTTGTCAAGGCTCTGGGGAATTGTTAAGTATATGGAGAAAATTCTTCGACATAAAAAAAACAAGGAATAGCAGCCACTAAATCCCAGTGTTCATAGTTGTGTGCGCAGGGATTGTCACGGTGTTGGTTGTTTTTTTTTTAAATTATGAAAGTAAGTGTGTGGTTGGGGGGCCAAAATGCTCCCATTTTATTGTTGGTGTGTTAGCCACGAACCTCATTCCCTTCTGGAAACACGATACTCAATCTTAATAATAGCCTGCTGTGTCATGGGAGTGCAAACTACAATAGCTCTGCTCTCCCCCCATCTCCCGCTTTCATTTTAAGAATGTGACGCCCTGTCGTTTCTGGTCTGTCGCCGAGAAACCGCCACTGGGTAATTGAAATGAAACTGCTATTAGACGGACGATTATTTGCAGCCGTTCTCTCGGAGATACGTCCGGTTGTTATGGGAGCGAGGGGGGTGGTGGAGAGTATGTGTGTTCTGAGATCAGACAGAACATGTGAGTGTAGCTGCGTGTCTGAGAGTTCGTGGTTACATATTAACACAAGAATGTGAGGGGACTGTGGGTGTGACACAGTTAAACACGGGCTTGAGTGAAGGTAATGTGTCACTGACACAGTTTGACAACTACTGGAGTGAAGGTAATGTGTCACTGACACAGTTAAACAACCACTGGAGTGAAGGTAATGTGTCACTGACACACTTAAACAACCACTGGAGTGAAGTAATGTGTCACTGACACAGTTAAACTACTGGAGTGAAGGTAATGTGTCACTGACACAGTTAAACAACCACTGGAGTGAAGGTAATGTGTCACTGACACACTTAAACAACCACTGGAGTTAAGGTAATGTGTCACTGACACACTTAAACACCCGCTAGAGTGTGAAAATTATGTCCGTGACACCGCTAAATATGTAAGTAAGAATTTGAAGGGGTGCCTATATAATGAATGAGTATATAAGCGTATGTGCGTTTGATGTCGGGGTATGATGAGAGGCATGTTATTGCATGTCAGAGTATGGAATGCTACGAGTTCCTGTGTACATTTCTTCTTCTTCTTCTATATATTAAAGCCCCACGATCAATGTATTGATCATTTTGGCTCCTATGCATGTAGAGGGGATTTGCAATGTTTCTGTGCCTGGTGTTGAGGATATTTCACTGGTTGCTAGGGCTTCATTGTGAGGGTATCATGCACTGGGGGATGGAAGGTCTGAGGCAATAGGCAATTTCTGCTTAAACAAGCGAGTCCAGTGAGACAGACTATTGAGACAGACCAGTCAGAAAGAGCAGTGAGGAAGACCAGCCAAAAAGACTATAGTTCTGAATAGGGAATGATTTAAACATCCCAATAACATGGCATTACAACAACAGACTCAGTGTTATGAATAAACTTAATATTCCACAATGCCCCCTTACCTGGAGTTGTCTTTGATGGTCATATTCATGAAATCATCGGTCTTGAAGCAACCGCCAACAAAAAGAAGAAAACAAGATTGAAAATGTACAAGGAAATCGGATTATCTCTTCTCACGTAAACAATACTTGTGATGTCTTGCAACAAATCGGAATAAGGCCATGTTAAACGGTTACTAACCTTTCAACACTTATCTACTGGGTTTAAATCTAGAACATTTAACATGACAGGACAAAAGCATCCAGACATTCTGCAAGTGTGTATTAGTTTCATTAAACCATAATTTATAAATGAAAGGAAATGTACGTGAGATATTGCTAACTTTTTTTTTTTCTTTTCTCGAGAGCAACTCAAATAGAGAAAATAAAATGTTAAGTCCTTTTAATTCCTTTGAACTTGATTTGTCTTTAAATCCAATAAGTTAAGAAGAGCTTACACTAAGAAGGATTATATGAATAAAACTAGTTTTAAAATTCTACGTTTGTGAACTTAACTTTAAAAAAATCAATAGTGTTGTTTTTTTTCCTGGTTTTTTTTATATTTTTTTTTACTTAAGTGTTGGTGAAAGTAGGTCTTGCCTAATGACCGAGAAATATCTGATGAAAACTCATCCAACTTCTGGCGACACACGGGTACTGAACAAAGGTATGTAACTCTCGATTTTATTCAGGCGTATGGAATTGTCGTTCTTTGATGTGAGAGACCCTCAAGACACATGATGCGGACATAGATCAAACTCATCATCAGAAAATTCACAGGAGGTGAAATTGTAATTTACACTTATCCCAGCTGGCTAGCCGGCACTAATGAAATGGAAATTATGATTTATTGTGTACCCTATAATATCATATCTGGTGTTGTAAGGTTTATCCCATTGATATAAAAGGGCTATTTCTTAATGCTAATGTGTAAAATAGCTCTTAGTTTTAATCCAGATTGATCTGAATTTTTTTTAAAAAAAGTCTGGATCTTCAAGGAGCTTCTTGTGCAGATAATATGGAGGGAAAAGCAACCAAATAGTCAGTTTACCATTTGAATCAATTGACACAGAACATTACATGGGTGTTAGCAATAGAAAGTACTCACGACATCTGCCATGATCAGGTGGTGGATAAGTTTCTTTAGGTGGGAAAATGGCCTGGACATCTTGACCTACAAGAAAATCATCAGGAAATAATACAAGTTAGAAACAATTTCAAAAATCGTTCCATCCATTTCTAGTTTCTGTCTAATTAAACTACATTTGTGCAATAAGATTTCTGAACAAACTTTGAAAAAATAACTTTATAATCTTAGGTCAGAATGAGCCTGGACTCAACACTATTCATGAAGCCACATAGAAATGGAAAGAGTCTGCTGAATTCCCCTCCTGTACAGTTAACACTTGGTAATGACAAGCTCAGATATTAATTTCCCATGCCAAAGCCTAGAACATTTTAGCAAGTCACACGACAGAAATCAACAGCACCACATCTAATTAGAAGTTACCTCTAAATCTTCTTCTGTGATCCCTATGATTCCAGCGCTGTCAATGATGTTCAACATCACCTTGCCCTGTTCATGCAGGGAAGCGGGAAGTCTCTTGTCTATGATTGCCTCCATGTCATCCTTGACCATATCTGGGCTGTAGCACTTCTCAAGGTGGCCGAGCACAGTCTTCATGGTCTTTAGATCAATGCATTGAGAGAGAGATGTTTCTTCATGTTCTTCTTTGATCGGCTCTTCTGGTGTTGACAGGGAGGCGGGCAAGGCACCACCTTGATTGTCGCTGGTCCCCTGATTTATTTCAGCTTCTTGACCACCATCATCGAGCACAGACCCACATACTGAACTTGATTTTGGCTGGACTATGGGAATCAAGGCCAGTTTCAAGGTCATGCTCTCCACAATGAAATTTCTCTGCAGAAGGCACCTGGAGGTGAGCAAGTCCAGCTTCTCTATGATGGATGTGCGGGCAAGTGTCAGCAAAGAACCTGATCCGACCCACACAGTGAAGTTCCCTAGGACACCACTGGCTGAGATTTTGACATCTCTGAGGCTCAATGTCATTCTGCCAAGCTGGATCGTCTTGTCCTCACTTTGCACTGATTCCACTGCAGGGGGCTTATTTAAAACAGATGTTGAGTCAGCCACTTTCAGCTTCTTTCTTGTTCTTGTTGGTCTTTCATTTAGTTTCATGCCTTTCCTTTGATGTCCAAACTTTGAACCACCATCTGAGAACAAATATGAGATACATAACAGGCTGCTTTCATGATAGGCATGTAAATATGCAGTAAATAGTTTGATTGATAGGCCTATTTTCTGATTCTGATAGGGTACGTTGCTGCATCCACGTACTGGCATATGTGCAACGGTTTGGGAAAAGATGCGGCTATCCTAACGGCTCCTAGCGGGTGCCAGGGCTGCCTTGAAACTCTCGATTGATATCGAGTCCAAGGCGGCATTGTCCAGTTGGTTCCAAGCAATTATTGTTCGTGGGAAGAATGATTGTTTATATTGGACTGTGTTACACCCAGGCACAGTGAGGGATTTACTATTTTCCGGATGTTTTCTAATGCCAAATATCTTTCAATCCACCTATTAAAATGAACCAATATTTTTTTTAACTCACCACATCATCCATGACATGAGTGAATAATTGAAAATCTGACTAAATGGTCATATTTTTATGGAAGGCTACATCCCTGCTAGTAGGACAATGATATTGTCAAGCGTGGAAAAGTAATGATCATTTTTGTACGTAAAGGACACATGACACAACTGTATCACAAAAAGGGGCTTCCCTAAGGCCCCTTGTCATGATGACTTCTGTTGTATATGATGCAAACTGGTTGCTTCCCACAAATGATAATAAAACTATACACTCTATTGACTGCTCATTTCATCTTGCCACTATTACACTAGTGACAAAGACTACACTAATCAATCTAATGAGGTTTAGATTCTAAATAATTATTGTTTGTCTGTTGAGGATCAACATCACCTTGCCCTGTTGCTGCGTCAACCTCACTCTCTCATCCGGGTCCACCATATCCAGTGGCAAGACTCTACGTCAAGACAACCAGGGATGGGTATGGTTGCAGGAATAGACATTGTATGTGCCTTACGGGACTCCAACTCCGGGTTTGAATTCAGAGTTTCCTTCTCTTAGATGAGTTGCTGACCAAGTGTAATGAGTCTCATCCATCCGGGGTGATGATTTTGCTTGACTGGCCTTTGGCTGGAATTGGACTCCAGACCACCAACTTGAGGTTTGCTCAGTTTAGACCATTCGGCCACCCAGTCACCCCCCAAAATAATTACTACCCGGTGGTCTAAAAGTGGCGTAATGCACAGAAAACCAGACACCTTTTCAAATTGTTCTGGTTGGCGGTGCATTCTGTAATATTTCATTTCAGGAGGAGTAGCTGGTAGGCAAAAGACCCATTTAATTTACACTCTTAGTTCTGAGTAAAATGACAGAACATATTCAGGTAACTCACTCAACCTACCTTCAGCTGCCCATTGATCCATAGAATCCTCATCGCTGTCCATCAGAGCCGCTAGCTTTCGTTTGCGATCAATTTCAGTCTGAGGCTGTTTGAAGGACAACTTTTTTTTGCCATCCTCATCAATTCTAACCATCTCATCAGGAATATGCGCTTTCACTTTAACCTTTAGGTAGAAAAAGTTACACCAAAAATGACTGGATCATTGAGTAGCCAAGAACTCAATATTAATTGATCATTTAAAATTGATTATAATAACACATCTATGTATTAATCAATGCAGTTTTAACAGCAATTACAGATTTATTTTTAAAGAGAAATAACTGGGATAATCATTAAATAATTGATGCCATGCCATTGCTTCCCTGGATTAAACTCTAAAATTTTGACTCCGATATTAAAAAAATTGAACCACATATATTTCATAAATGGCAAACAGAGGATCTGCCAAGTTCAAAAAAATTTGACTGCCATATTTAGATTTTCTAGGATATGGTGAACTTGGTTAAAAATGGTCTTAAAAATCCTGAAACAGACAGCTCTCTAAGTGAATAAGATTAAACAGCTAGAAAATGAATAAGATTATGCAGCTACAAAATAAATAAGCTTCTTATACATCTAGAAATGACAACTGTAAATATTGATTTATTTGAATTAATTTGACATCTGAGTTAGCGTCTAACCAAACAATGCTGTAGCATTAATGGGCAGTTTGCAAAACAAATTTCTGTTTTTTTAAGAGAAAGACCTAAGCAAAAAGGGACAAGACATTCGTCTTATCAGTTTGGCCAAGTTACCAGGGGCCAGAGAAGTAAAGGAAATTACGACTATGCCGTGGCTCATTTAGTTAAAAATGTAATCAAGAGTAAAAGGGAAATCTGACCATGTCAAGAGCTATGAGTGAGATGACGGCCATCACACATCCTCCTTGGTACTTGTTAATGTTCAACTCCACATACTCATCAGTTGCCTCTCTCCTTCTCATGCCTTTATCTAGTAGGTGAGCAGTGCTGTTTACACTGCTAGATCCTGCTGATGAAACATCTTTATCAAGGTCAATGGTGCTGCTTGCTCTAAGAGAGCCAACTGATTCCTCTAGAGAATCAACATCCATAGCCACTTCACTGATGTTTTGTTGGTCCTCTAAAGTCTTTAATGTTTCAGCATCTGCTACGAGGGATTGCGCCTTTATTTTTGGCATCTGAAATTCTTGCACTTGCTTGAGAATATTGACAAAGAGATCTTGTGGCATACGAGACTTTAGTGCTTCTTTGTGCCTGAAACCACAACAACACAAACAAATCCCAAAATAAGGTAGAAAGCTTTTTGTTTTCATCATAATTACTTTGAAATAGCCTTATAGTGGTTAATCCAGCTCAAACTGTTTTCGTATTATTACTATCAGAAAATACAGTGTATTTATTGTATCTGTGGTAGTACAGTGTGTTGCTAAATATTTTATATTTTGATTATTAACATGAACAAAATCCGAAATCCCACTCCAAACTTAATGCAGTGAAAAGATTTGAAGAACAAAACTTATAAAACAAATAAGTGGGATGATAACAAATAAAAACTGTTGCAGATGCAGCAATGATAGAGTCACACACCAATGCACAGACAGCAATGACTCACCGTAACATACACTTGTGGTTGTTTAGCAGGGCAGAGTTATTGGTCAGTAGAGGAACTGTGTCTTTCTCAAATTTCTGGCATCAAAGAGATAAATAACACCATGATTGCCTCAACACATGAACATATTGAGTCGATGCAGATTTCAACATGTCCGGCAGTTTGTACAAGAGAAATATTTTTTTAAGGTAATGATCAGACGGAAGTTGGTTCAACATAAATTTATTCTAATGTAAATTTGTTCAAATGGAAATTGGTTCTCAATTAAATTTGTAGAAAGATACTTATTTATTTTTCAAATATTTTGTAAACAAAGGTGCAAGTGACAAATGGGGAAAGAATATAAACTTTTGAATAATTTTTTTTTGTTGATTATTTCTTTTCGAACAAACTTCCATTCTAACAAATATCTTTTTGAACAAACTTCTGCAGAACAATTTTCTTTCGTACAAATTTCCGGTAACCAGGTGTTTCAAACTGATAGCACACATGGACATGGCAATGGAAATCTAAAAAGTAAACTCTACTTTTATATCAGAACATTTTGAAAACATAATTGGTTGTGAAAGAAAGTATTAATTTGCAACAAAAAATTAATATGGATAAACTTGACAAAATCTCTATTTATTTAAGTTGTTACAACATACACTATACGTGCCAAGTATTGCCTAGTTATTTTTAACTAGAAAATGTACCTTCATCTTAACAATGATACTGTATTTTCTCAATAAGTAGTAGGCCTCGCTGATCACTTCATTTGGATATTTCGACAAGGTGAAAAATACACTTTTGCCTTCAAGTGGTGTTTTTAAGTGGAGAAAACTCTGGAAAACAAGGTAGATAACTTAGTTGATTTTTCTACTATTTCTTTAATCAATCATTTTTATAACCCAAAAACTAAGAGGTTATTGGTGGCTTATTTTGACAAGTCTTGTGCAGAGATATTGATCTTCAAATAAGTGGGAAAGCTCACCATAAATGGTGGTGAAATAAATTACTCGGGGTGAACCAAAATCAGAACCTACTACCTTGTACAAGTGGATGGATCCAGAAAGGCTAAAGATCTGACCCTACACTAAGGCAGCTACCCCTCCCCACCCAGATGGTTGTTCGCAGGGTTGATGACCCTGTCACATAAATAATATGATATTATGAAAGCTAAATCCCAAATGAAAAAACAAGATTAAAATTTTTGGATTTCGACCTATGCCTTGACAAGGGCATGATTTAGGGATAGTGATCTAGAATGCTCTGAGTCAACACAGAGCAGGAGTGCTGGCCCGCATCACTGACATAGAATCACTGTTGCTGCACTGCAGGAAACAAGATAGAAAGATTTGGAAATAGCAAGTACAAAGGTATAAACCATATTCAACAGCGGAAACAATGCCGACACCTTAGAAACAGGGATTGCAGTCAAAAGAGAAAATAAATGCATTCATTGGGTTCAGACCAATCAAAGAAAGACTTGCTTTATAACAGGAGAGGGCAAACTTTTGTAGCTGCCAGCCTGAGCCAGATTCAAGAGGTAACAGAGGTATGGATGCCATAAATGGTGAAGGGTGGGCCAGTTTACCCAAATCATAGGGAATTTATTATTTAAGAAACTGATCTCCACAACAAGAGGAAATGTCCATCCCCAAAAAATTTGAATTTCACCAGGAAATCAAAACAGCCAAATATAGTGGTGGCATCTGAAATCCAAAATGTAAATTACACTTTCATTTTTTTTTCCTTTTCCAATTGTTTGATTATTTTAATTATTTTATTTTATTAAAGGGACCGCGAGCCATTCAAAATGGAGGCCTGAGCCACAATTGGCTCACCAGCCATAGTTTGCCCATCCCTGCTCTATAGGATAAGAGGAAATATTTTAAACATCCCTTTAATTTGCGCACATGCTATAACAGAATATGCAGATGACAACATTAAGGAAACTTTATAGGAAACATTTGAAGAATATTTGATGAGGCAGCACGCCATGATAGCAAACATGGTCCTTGGAGATTTCAACGTGATAATCTGAAAAAACCTGTTTACAGATAACTGTCAGGAAGGAAAGTCTGCATAACTAGAGCAATGACAACAGAGCACG